CCGTCAGTCGGACATCCTTAGCGTTGCCACGGAGGTGGGAGAGGCTTTGAATTCTCATCTCTAAGGGTTTGGATACATTCACCCATGGGGCTGTGCATGCAACCTAGGATGCTATACATTGATCTCCCCTTAACAGTATTAAAACAATCCAGGGATATTTCTGGATTTTAAAACGAATACACAAACACACTCAGACATGTCTTCACCCCAATGCCCACCTCAAGGAATTCTCCAGAGAAAGAAGCGAGTAAGATTCGTTTGGGATTATACATTGAGCGGCCCCCATCTCTGCCCCGTGACCGCATATTGCTAAAGTCCCAATCAGCATGTGTATGGCATTAATTATTCTGCTTCTGTTTTCATTCATTCACTGAAAGGCTGAACGTCGTAAAAGATAAGAACCTGAGCCTCAGAGTTAGAATGGGATTCAAGAACCAGCCATCTCTTACAAGAATCCTGACGTTTGGCAAACCCCTCGACCTCCATAAAACTTAATCCCCTTGTTTGTAAAAGGCGACGCTAAATATAGCATCTCCTTAGCAGCATTGTTTATACGATTAAGTGAGATAATACTCATAAAATCCCTAGCACAGCATATGGTGTATGGGGAAGCTCTAATGAATGTTTCTATTATTATAATCTTACTAGAGGCCCAGTGCACAGGTTTGTGTACCGGTGGGGTGTCTCGGCCTGGCCTGCGGGGATTGGGCTGAAACCGGCTCTCCAGCATCCCCCGAGGGGCCCCGGATTGCGAGAACGTGGTTCTCGGGTGATGCACCCTGGAATCAAGCTCTGTCCTCTCTGGTTCCGGGTGCGTCCCCCGAGAACCACAGCTGCCAAGTCACCGCAGCTCGGCAGCTCCTGCATTGAGCGTCTGCCCCCTGGTGGTCAGTGCGCCTCATAGCTACTGGCTGATTGGCCGGTCAGCTGGTCGCTTAGGCTTTTATATATATACTAGAGGCCTGGTGCAAGAAATTCGTGCACAGGTAGGGTCCCTAGGCCTGGCCAGCGATCAGGGACAATCGGGGGGCCTTCCAGCTGCCGCCGGGGCCTCCCTTTGTTCCGCGCTGCCCCCTGGTGGTCAGAGCACATCAAAGCCAGCAATCGGTCTCCCGGTGGAACTCCCATGGGGACAATTTGCATATTAGGCTTTTAGATAGATAGATAGATAGATGATAGATAGATAGATAGATAGATAGATGATAGATAGATAGATAGATAGATAGATAGATAGACCTATATATGAACATGCTCTTTATTTCCATGGTTTCATGGTAGTCTAGAAGATTAATCAACAATGTTCTTTCTTTTTTATTACTGCTAGGAATGTGGGTTGTTTGAACTTATTTGGAGATACATGCCTCGTTGCTATAAATACTACGTATTAAATATTGTGTTTCTGCTCAGTGTATGTTCTTGAGGGACAGTCCAGCTGGGGGCGCAGGATGAAATGGGAGTTTTTTTATGGACCTTCTTGCAAGTTGCCAAATTACCCTCCAGAGGAAAGTAAGCCCATTGACAGAGAGCTGTGTGGCATCATTAAACTCCTTCCTCACAGACACACTGGCTATGGGCTTTCATTATTTTTTATCCAGTTATTGGAGAAAAATCAGCATAAGATCAGACCCAACACACTCCAATTTGCCTTTCTGTAATGACTACCAATTCAACTGGGTATATATAGGAAAACTCTATCCCGTCTTGACAATTTTTCTGAGAACTAAAACAGCTCTAAAAAATAAAGTCCATTAAGAGGGGAAAAAAGGTGTTTAGAAGGAAGTGACAAAGAATGCCTATAATTGGGGTTAAAGGGATTGTATATACTTTTTTTTTAGAGGGAGAGGGAGAGAGAAACACCCATGTGCAAGTGAACATCAATTGGCCTCCTGCACGCCCCCCACTGGGAATCGAGCCTGCCTCCCGGGCAACCTTTTGGTGCACAGTACAACACCCAACCAACTGATCTGTACTGGCCAAGGCAAACCATATATTTTTTTAATCGTGTATTTTTTAAAATACATATATATGTATTTTAAATATAATATATTATATATAATATATATATATTCTATTGATTTCAGAGAGGAAGAGAGAGTGAGATAGAAACATTAACAATGAGAGAGAATTACTGATTGGCTGCCTCCTGCACGCGCCCTACCGAGGATGGAGCAGCAACCTGGGCATGTGCCCTGGTAGGGAATCGAACTATGACCTCCTGGTTCATAGGTCAACGCTCAACCACTGAGCCACACTAGCCGGGCTCATGTATCTTTTCGATTGTTGAAATTATAATTATGTTTTCTGAAGTCTATGAAAGATGTCCATTGTCTTCTGTTGCCTTGAGAGGACTGAATTCACTTCTCCGGATGCTAAGGAAAGCCCTGGTTCCTCGGGGATGCCAATGTGGGAGAAAAAGCAAGATACTGAGCTATCGCCAAGGTTTCTCTTGCTCTGCACGGAGGGACACATGGAGATTAGGAAGCTCAGCCGAGAAGACCAAGAGGCAACGAAGGGACACAAACCCAGATGGACAAGGCTGACTCGGCGAAACCCTTCAATGACTTTGCAAAAGGCCTGTCTCACTGGACACCAGGCGCCCACCTCCCGAAGAAACAGCGCAGAATCCCGACAGACCCTTCGCGGTGCTGTCAGGGGGTAAGACAGAGGGAGGAAGAGGCAAAAGAGGGACGGAAAGTAGTGACAGGCGGCCTCAGACCCATGTGCCCTGTTTCAGCTCCAGCTGACACTCAATCGCTGGTCGCGGGGGAGGGCACGCGAGACAGGGAGCACATGTTCTCAGGATGACCCCCACCACAGCCACTGGGTCGGGCGCCTGACACCGAATCCGTCCGACACAAACTAGAAAAGGCGCCTCTTTGATGGATGTCTTCTTGTTCCAGTTTACAGGCAACTAATCCCCGCCGCATCGGATCCAACAGGCGGGCACGATCAATTCAGGAAAAGGGAGCAACGCTGGGGCTGCTCAATCTTCCCACTCTGAGAGCCACCGTGGAGAGGGGAGGGGAGGGAAAGGGAAGAGAGAGAGAGAAAATGCGGGCATGCCTGCACCCAAGAGAGCTCAGCAAAGCAAAGTCAAGATAGACAAGTCGAAAGACACATCCTGGCAGGCGGAGGATCTCGCTGTCAGAGGGAGAGACAGACACACCAGGAGATGCTGCCAGGCTGGGGTAGCTCAGCGGTTGAGCATCGACCTATGAGCCAAGAGGCCTCACCAGTTCGATTCCCGGTCAGGGCACATGCCCAGGTCGATGGCCAGTAGGGGGCGTGCAGGAGGCAGCGGATCAATGATTCTCTCTCATTGATGTGTCTATTTCTCTATCCGTCTCCCTTCCTCACTCTCTAAAAAATCAATACAAATATATTTAAAAACAACAACCACCATGAGATGCCAAACAGGCCCAAGACTCTGGGCGCTGGGGGTATGGGAGGGACCAAGGACGGTGGGAGGAAGTGGTTGGGGTGTCAAAGCCAAAGAAACCGGCCGCAGCCCCTCCAGGGAGAGAGGTCTGCGTTTACTTAAGTTGCCATGGTCTGTGAGCTACAGGACAACGTGACGGGCGCGTTCATGAGTGCACGTGGGTAATTAAGTGTCAGGGAAGCCAGCGCCCCCAGAAGCAGTACAAATTGATGCCGCCAGACCCTGCCAGGCTTAACTGACCGGCGATGGGGTGAGAAGCAGCCGGGAATAGCATCCGAACAGCGTCAGGAGGAAAATGAGCTGGGAATCAGACAGACGCAAAGCACGCGGCGAGATTTTCCCACCATTCATCAGGAGGCACTTCCTCCCCCAGCAACTCCACGGCTCCATCCATCATTCCCTCGCTCCGAAGGTGGCCAAGGTCTGAGCCTGGCATTCCCCGGCATTTCCTGGTCCTTTCTTTCCACGCGTGGGCCTTTAGCATCCCAGCTGCCCCCTGGGTCTGCTTCGGTCAAGTCTGAAATATGTGTCCACCCTGAAGACCATCAGAAGGGCTTATTTGGATAATGGCTCTCCCCCTCTTGACCCGCTCATGGTCGCCACAGCCCTCAGAGACCCGCCTCTCCCAGGCATGGCTCAGCTGGGCTCACCGGGCCAACGTGTTAATCACCTTTACATGGTCTGAGAAGCGACGTTGCTATTTAAGATGAAAACATTTCTTGCCCCCAAGTGCCTAGATATTGGCAATCATGTTGTCCCGCTACCATTTTTTTTTTAATTTCAGAGAGGAAGGGAGAGGGAGAGAGAGAGCTAGAAACATCAACGAAGAGAGAGAATCACAAATCGGCTGCCTGCCTCACACCCCCTTCTGGGGAATGAGCCCACAACCTGGGCATGTGCCCTTGGCCGGAATCGAACCCGGGACCCTTCAGTCCCCAGGCCAACGCTCTATCCGCTGAGCCAAACCAGCTAGGGCTCTCCATATTTGTTATTTGCCAAGGAACGGATGACTCCAAATGATACCCATACATACATAAACATAACTGGCATATCTATATATATATAAAAAACCAGTTTCCATGATGACTGGTCGCCAATGAGGTGCATTGAGCACCTCCCAGTCCCTCCCCCGTGGCCCACAGGCTCCGATCGCAGCAAGGCGGGCGGCGGGTGGGTGGGCGGGGCTGTGAGCAGCGGGTGAGCTACTGCGTGATTTCACGCGCTGCGCCTCTAGTATAGACATAAGCCGCATCTTCTCACCATCAGCACAATGTGCTCACAATGCACGTTTACAGACACAAATAGCCAATAAAATACAGATGCATCTGCATCGGATGTGTGCGCATACGTGGCATTTTCCCCGTGTTTTCGGCAGGAAGTGCGGACACCAGGGTGGAGGCTGAAGTGAAGAACCCGCGTCCTTACCTTCATCTGGCGGCTCCTCCAGATCTGTGCTCTGTCAAAGACCCCTACGTCTGCTGGACTTGGCTTTCTGAGACCTCCCCCCGCCCCGTGGAAACACAGAGGCACCCGTCCCGCCGGGCCCCTGCGAGCATCCTACCTGCGCAGCTGCTGGTCCAGAGCCCCGTCCTGGGCGTCCAGCAGGGACGCAGCGCGGGTCAGCAGCTGCCGGCTGCAGCTGGCGGACTTGAGTTCCAGCAGGAGGAGGCCCAAGCAGAACATGGCTCCCATCTCCTCCAGCTCCCGGGTCCCAAACTGCAGGCCCTGCAAGGGAGAGAGAGGCCGACAGTGAGCAGGCTGAGCGAGGACCCTCGGAGACGGGGAGGGAGGTCTCCTGGACGCCCGCCCACCCGCCACGGGGATTGGGAGTGAACGTTATTTCTCGGACACAGTTCCGTGGGTTTTGTCATGTGCTTTGTGGACGGACGGATGGATCTCGAGCTGCGTTGCCTGGACACCTGGGGTTGCATAAAAGTACCCCCAAAGGCAGAAGTGTGGGTAAGGACGCAAAAGTCATCTCCCTGCACCGAGGTCAAGGCAGGAGAGTTTAAGAACAGTTCACTGCCCAGCTGGCATGGCTCAATGGTTAGAGCATCAACCTATGAACCAGGAGGCCATGGTTTGATTCCCAGTCAGGGCACATGCCCAGGTTGCAGGCTCAATCCCCATCCAGTAGGGGGCATGCAGGAGGCAATCAATCGATGATTCTCATCACTGATGTTTCTACCTCTCTCTTCCTCTTGGAAATCAATAGAAATATATTTAAAAATAAAAAAGAGGAGTTCACTGCTGCCCTGGCCAGCGTAGGTCAGTGTAGAGCATCAGCCCATGTGCCAAAGGGTCGCAGGTTTGATTCCTGGTCAAGGGCATGTACCTGGGTTGCAGGTTCAATCCCCAGTCCCCAGGTTAGGGCACATGTGGAGGCAACCGATCAATGTACCTCTCTCATATCTGTCACCTCTCTCTCTCTCGCCCTCACTCTTGCTCTCACTTATTCTTCCTCCCTTCCTCTCTCTCTAAAAATCAATGGAAAAATATCCTTGGGTGAGGATTTAAAAAAAGAAAAAGATTCACTGCTGAAACCAAAGTTTGTGAACAGTCTTCCTAAGAAATACCCTTTTTTATTCTTCCATACAGTTATCAACCAGGGGAGAAAAATGAAGGAGGATCCTTCAATCCCAGAGCTGCCACTTAATGTCTTGCCTTGGAGGGGAAGTTACGTGACCTATCAGCACCTCCATGTTCCCATCTGTATAATGGGAATAATAATGAAAACCATAATACTCCATATCTCATGGAACTGCTGAGGTCATTCAGGGAGTTTACAATATATAATAAATTCAGATTATACCTTGGCCCATAGCACAGTATCCAAGTCTATATCACATCATCCAAGTGGTCATTATTATCACCAATAATAGCAAATACTTACATAAAAGCAACAGCCAAAATAATACTTGATACACACAGTCCTCCTTAAAACCACGGCCAAAACTATGGCCTGCTCTCACTACTGTCATTTGTCATTACTTGACAAGTTTCAAACAATTCAATAAGAAAAAAATGAGTCATAAATATTAGGAAAATAAATCACATGATCATTATTTGAGGGCTGATTATGGACTAAAACCAAAGAAATGAGGCGAAACAGAAACTCTATTAGATATAAGGCAAGAACTGAATAAGCAGACAAGTTACAAATTAAATATCCCCAAAATCAATTTTCTTTCTATAAACCTGCAAAGTAAATTATTAAGGATAATAAAAATTCCATTCGCAGGAGCAGCACAGCTATGCAGTATCTAGGAATGGAATTTAATAGTAAATACCCCAAAGGCTGTATGATGAACCCCTGGAGTTTACCAACGGATAACAAGGGAAATTTAAATAAATGAAGAAATGGGCTGAATTCTGAGAAAGCAAAGCCCAGACCCATGTAATATCTATTCTCCTTATGTTAGTCTATCAAAGCACAGGAAATCAAAATGCCACTGGGCAATTTCAGACTTGGCAAACAAATTCCACTTTAAAAGACCCCATGGCAACCATATCCAGTAATATCCTCAGAATAAAGAATAAAAAAAAATAAATAAATGGTCCAGCCGGCATGGCTTGGTGGTTGAGTATCGACCTATGAACCAGGAGGTCATGGTTCAATTCCCAAGTGGGGCGTGCAGGAGGAGTCTCTCTCACCATTAATGTTTTTTTTTTCTAATATTTTTTATTGATTTTTTACAGAGAGGAAGGGAGAGGGATAGAGAGTTAGAAACATCGATGAGAGAGAAACATCGATCAGCTGCCTCCTGCACTACTGGGGATGTGCCCGCAACCCAGGTACATGCCCTTGACCGGTATCGAACCTGGGACCCTTGAGTCCGCAGGCCGACGCTCTATCCACTGAGCCAAACCGGTTAGGGCCCATTAATGTTTCTTTCTCTCCCTCTCTCTCTCTCTCCGTTCCTCTCTGAAATCTATAAAAATAAATATATATTTTTAATCCTCACCTGAGGATATGTTTCCATTGATTTTCATAGAGAGTGGAAGAGAGAGGGAAAGACAGAGAGAAACATCGATGTGAGAGAAACACGTCAATTGTTTGCCTCCTGCATTCACCCCGATCAGGGCCCGGGCCGGGGAGGAGCCTGCAAGCGAGGTACATGCCCTTGATTGGAATCGAACCCGGGACCCTTTAGTCTGCAGGCTGACGCTCTATCCACTAAGCCAAACTGGCTGGGGCAAAAATATGTATTTTTTAATAAAAATAAAAATAAAAATGTTTAAGTACTTGGAGTTCATTCAAATTCCAGAAATTAGTCTTAAGAGATTGGGACTAAATGAGGCAGGGAATTCATTTAAAAACCGTGCCTTCCTTCTGCCCTTCGACCTCCACCCCCCCCCCCCCCCACATCTGCTTCCTGTGAGGTCCAAACAGCCAACCAGTATATGCCCCGTTTGCACAGAACCCATCGCCGACCCTGGGTGACGCTGGGGCTACGTCCCCACCCCACTTCCCCCAGATCTAGTCACTGAACAGAGTTCTCCTCCTCCTCTGCAATGAGCCTGCAGGCAGACCTCAGGACCCCAGCTCTTCAGTGAGAGAAGTTCGGACTAGAAGGAGCCTGTGATATGCAAATAGACACTTTCATCTCCATGCAAAGGCAAGGCTTCCCTTAGCCCAGGGTTGGTAGTGAACCTGCTGCCACACGCATGAGGCTGGGGCTTGGAGAAGGAGGTGTGGAGTGGTCCCTTCTTCTGACTCCAGCGTGTCAAACTCAAAGGCCAACACGGGCCCAATAAACAAGGTTTAGGTGTATGTGGGCCGCAAGAAAACAAAAGCTTCCGTTTTCATGGGAACGTAGGTTTATGTCGATAGAGACATGCTGAATACAACGGCTGAGGTAAATGAGTCCAAGTTAACATAAAACAATAAAACATTTTAATAAAAATTAATATTTTTTCTCAGACATGAACATACCAGACACTGAGTAACTACACAGATAAATAAGCGTCACGCAATTAAACCTATGTTTCTTGTTCTCCGAAAGCAAAATATTTCCTGTGGCGCACACCAAACAAGTCAGTCCAAGACGAATGACGTAGCCATCGGCTGCTAAAATATTCGCTGCTGGTATCCGTGGAGAGAAATGGTGCGCTTGTGTGTAAGGAGTGTAAGGGAAATGAATGCAACACGATGATAGTAATCAGTCATTAGTGAACGTTGTAGTTCGTTATTACTAACTAGAGGCTCGGTGCACAAAAATCTGTGCACTTGGGTGGGTCCCTCAGCTGGGCCTGTGCCCTCTTGCAGTCTAGGACCCCTTGGGGGATGACTACCTGCTGGCTTAGGCCTGCTCCCTGAGGGATCGGGCCCAAGCTGGCAATCAGACATCCCTCTGGCAGCCCGGGAGCCCTCGGGGGATGTCCACTTGCCAGTGGGGAGCAGGCCTAAGCTGCAGTTGGACATCCTTAGCGCTGCTGAGGAGGCAGGAGAGGCTCCCACCACCACCGCTGTACTGGCAGCCATCAGCCTGGCTTGTGGCTGAGCAGAGCTCCCCCTGTGGGAGCGCACTGACCACCAGGGGGCAGCTCCTGCATTGAGCGTCTGCCCCCTGGTGGTCAGCGTGTGTCATAGTGACCAGTCATTCCCAGTTGTTCTGCTGTTAGGGTCAATTTGCATATTACCCTTTTATTATATAGGATTATGTATAACTGGATATTGTCAAAATTAAGTCACGAAATTTTTATTAAAACGTTTCTTACATACGATGATATTGGCTGGGCCGCAAACATATTCATCGTGGGCCGCATGTGGCCCGTGGGCCGCGAGTTTGACATGCTTGTTCTAATTCCTATGTTGCAATGTTGAGGGCCTCCTGGGTTAGACCTAACCAAAGGTCAGGAGGAGGAGAGACCCAGTCTCGAGGGGTGGGAGCAGTTACCCTCTGGGATGGGGTGTGGGGGGTGGGGGGTGTATAATTGTTATTCTTGAGACTTACTTCTCACTCTCTTCTGTAATGACTGCTCACACCAGCGCTTCGTAAGGATTCTGAGAATGTTTCCGGGGACGATACCAAAGGAATAGATTTCTTGTTGCTATGTCTTTACTGGACCTTAAGGTGTCGGATACTAACCTCAAAAGAAAAACAGAATCCGCCAGCAAGGCTCAATCCGTGGTTGAGCATCTACCTATGGACCAATGACGAGAGGCAATCATCGATCGGCTGCAACCCGCACGCCCCCTACTGGGGATCGAGCCCGCAACCCGGGCACGTGCCCTTGACCGGGAATCGAACCGTGGCCTCCTGGTTCACAGGTCGACGCTCAACCACTGAGCCACGCGGACGGGGCCGGGACAGAGCACTTATTTCTGCAAGACACTGTTCCCTACGGATCTGAAAAAGTCACCTGCATTTAGCAATGACACCAAGTCTTTCTCTGGCATTTTTATATCCTCCTCTTAGTCCCTTTCCCAGCCCATGGGCTAATGGATTTCCACTCCCAACGTCACCCCTAATCGATATGTGTATACACACAGACACATACACACACAGAGCAGTGTCTGCATCTTGTAGCGTTCCACACGCCCCCAACGTCTGCCTGAGGCTGGGTATAAATAAATCGACAGCCTGGTTTCCCACTCGGGCCATGAGAGAACGCCGCTTTCGAATACTAATCAGAAGCACCAGCGAAGTGAGGACAGGCCGTGTCAGGGAGCAGTAGAAACCCCGTGCTTACTGGGGCCAGAAAACCAATTAGCCAGAAGC